TGCGAAAGCCAGGCCAGGGAGTTTTATTTAAAACAAAACAAAAGGAAGGATTTTTATGTGGGGCTTAGATGGGATTGTTGGCTTTAAAAGCTCTACCAGCCGATGATACCCCTCCCCGTGAGCAGCTCTGTTCCTAGCTTCCATCTCTGTGTAGCAGCTCTGCAGTCTTTTTATTGTACAGCAAAACAATTGACTGCAAGTGTCCATATTCCATTAAGCGTATGGAAAAGTATTCAGCCCTTTGTTTTCCACTGAATGAATTTACTTGGCATGTAAGTATTAATTTAGACTAGTCATGGGACATTAGTGCTGGTTAATTGTCCCCATTTTTCTGGGGTTTATTTAACTGATGGAGATTATTTCAGAAATGTACAACTTCTTTAACTGTTGCATTCTTTGCTGGATGCCCCTTGCAGAGGCTCCAGACTCACATGCAGCAGCGGGGAGATGGTGGCACATCTCTGCCATGCAAGATTTTGGGATTGCTGGTGTGTGACCACAGGGGGAGAGCATGATGAGAAAAAAGTCACCCCAAGGCCCTGTTCATAGCAGCCAGCACTGGTTTTGCCAGTCCCTCGGGGGGTTTCCTTTCCCAGGAGCCCAGCCCGGCTCCTCAGAGATGATGATGCTCATCCACTGTGGGACCATGAGGATCCTTTCTCAGCACTGCGTCCAGCTGCGACGGACCGAGCGCAGCGCACACACACCTCCTGTGAGCAGCGCCAGCGGAGACGAGCGCCTGCCAGGCTCCAAGGCACACGCAGGGACACGCTGGTCTGCCTCACTGAAAACCACAGGCTGAATTTTTTTGCCTTGCTTTGTAAAGAAAAACTACCAGCTCCTTCCCCCAGACTTTGGGATGAAACTGTGGAGCTTTGGACAAGCTGGGGCTCCTTTCAGCAAAACCCAGGTGGCAGGAAAATTAAGCAGAACTCTTTTCCCCGGTGAATGGCAGTTAAGGAGTGACCAGCTCCTGGGAAACCACCAAAAATCTGCTAGTGACCCACCGGCAGCATGTGTCACGTCTCGGGTGCTTGCAGCTCTCCTAGTGCTGGTCGTGCTCCTCTGCTGCTGTGTGTACCCGCTGCCCCGTGGTCCCGCTCTGCAGGCGGCTGGAGCCAGGTACAAAGTACAAGGATTTCTGCTCTCCAAGGGGAGTTATCCAGTGCACCGGTAAAGACCTGCTCTGTAAAGCCTTCAGCAGCGTGCATGCCCCCAGCATCACCACGAGGCCCTGCAGCCCTTGGATGGGATCAGGGAAAGTGTCCCCCACCTCAGTGTCTCCCTCTGTTAGGGAGCAGGGAAGGGACAGCCTCTCCTGGGTGGGGGAGGAAATGAATCCAGGCTCGCGTGCTTCGTCAGAGATGCAAATTGCTCTACAGGTCCTGAGCATTAATTATAGAGCCTGGGCTTCTCGCTAGAGCCGCGGGGAAAACAGGCCCCTGGCTCCCATTAAATTTAATGGCATTTGGACACCCAATTCCCTTAGCCTATTTGAAAACCAGAATCCCAGTTTCTTCAGAAATATATGTGGTCAGGTGAAATCCCTCATCCCGCTGCAGACAGTGAGATTTTTACAGTATTGGCTTCAGCAAAGCGGGCAACTCTCCCCCAGGCACTGGAGTGTTTTCCTCGTGCCATCTGCGGGATCCAGGGAAAGAGCAGGGACTGATGTACGGATAGCGGAGGTGTGGGCAGGGAGCTCTGCGGACACACTGAGAAACCCAGCTCTGGCACCACGGCACCATTGCACAGGCTGGTTCACGGCACCACGCTGGAGATTGTCCCGCTGCAGGGTTTGGGGCATGGGGATGGAAAGCCCTGCTTGCCCGGGAGGTGAGCAGGGCATGGGGCAGAGCCGCCTTCCCCCCGCACAATTTCATCTCTCATCCATTTAAGCCACTGCCTCTAAAACGTAGCAGCTAATTGTTCTCCTCTGCCAGGAGCAGACCTGTGAGGCTACGGCTGCCTCTCACTGTGTCTTTGCAGAGTGCCGATGAGATGGCACAATGTGGGACTTGGGGATTAGGTAAGAAATAATGCCAGTAGCGCAACTGGAAAAAAAGGGGGGGGAAAAATCAAACTTTTGGGGAGTTAGGAGCAGAGGATCCCTCTGGCCCGGTAAGCCGTTCCTGGTAGGCAGCTACTGGAAGCCACGTTATTTCGGGACGTGCTGCGCCGTGGGATGGTGCCTTGCTAGAATTGTAGGTGTACAACGGTGAGAGGTGATCCCTGCCTGGGAGGGCTTACAGGAGCCAGACCTGGCTGAGAGTACGGCGATCCCAGTCCACAGAAGGAGAGATACGGTAAGGAGAAGCCTGCTCTCCACTCCAACCGGTCTTTATGCACAGGGCCAGCCTCGTATTGAAACACCACCCGGGGCTCCAGCTGCATGCATTTTGGGTGAATTCTTGATCTTTTTCCCAGTGTTACCTTTTTGGCCAGGGTGGAGTTTTCCTGTTCTGAGGGACTCCAGCGTTTCTGCCCAATTTAGCACGGAGAAAATGAACAGCAAACCCTTCATATTGTTATACACGTTTTAGATGTCGGCCTCACAGTTTGATCAGCGGAGGCTCCGAAGGCTCGTAAACCTGGTAATACATAGTTTCAAGCCTGCATCAAAGAAGTTCACAACCCTTTTGGGAGAAGCTGTGAGTACTGATGAAAGAGGGAACTTATTGTATATGTAAGAAAACTTCTTTCATGGCTTATGTATTAAGGCAGGCTCTGTGGCCCAGGGAAGATTGGGGCTGCTTTTAATTTACATCCCCCCTCACTTATATTAAGTCTTCGTCAGAAGAAAAATTAGTCAGATGTTTTCTTAATGACATCATTTTTTTTAATCCTGTTTCATTTTTTCCAGATGAGGCGGTGGAGATTATTAGAAATGAATTGAAACTAAATCTGGAACAGAGACTTTGATTCACTTCTCCCTCCTCCCCGGTAGAAATAAATTGGTCAGCTCCGTGCTCAGCCGCCTTTATTAGCAGCCTCGACAAAAAACAGCCCCGGCAGCCTCGGCTGCAGCTTTCCCGAGCTTGCCGCCGTCGCAGCTGACGTCACGGCGAGAGGCACCGGAGAGTGGCTCAGAGAGGGACTTTGGTCGCCCCATAATTTTGGTAACGAAAGGCCATGGTGACACAGGTGGGGAGGTTATGAGGTTTGAAATAGCCATGCCATTATAAGTTTGTTTTTCAGTGCTGTAAAAGAAAACAGGCTTGATGCTGGTGGGTGTTCCTCTAGCAAAACCCCAGCCTGGGTCCGACGAGAGCGTGTGCGTCCGTGGCTGTGCATCTCTGCAAGTCCCTTATATCTGATAGGTTTTCACTGTCTTGTATTTCACACCAGTGAGCCATGAAGAGTATTGCTACAGGAAAGTACTTTGAACTATAAATATTTTAAAAGGCATTTAATTTACTACCTATCAGCAGAAAGTGTTGAAAAAGCCACAAGGTTTACTAATTTATCAGAAAGACAGAGAAACACGCAGAAGATCAAACAAAGACAAACATGCTTGTAAACTGCTGAATAAGTCTGCAAAGCTTATATTACATTTCTTTGTGGTTTTGTTGATATGAAGGTAATACAAATAAATTAAAATGCACCTGAACCGTTGATAAGGCAGGGTGGGACCAAGATCCTGAGGTGCAGGTGGCATGTGGAAACTGCTCAGACCCTTGTGTTTGTGGTTGTCTGTGCATGGAGAGACAGATCTTAGATGCACTCGCTAGTGGCGTATTTGGATATTGTTAGGCAAGGACCTTTGTTACACCGTCCCTTAGCTCAGCCCACGTCCCAGATCCCTGACCTCCGAAACCCCAAATCCCCATGGTCTCCCATGCCTGGGGTGCAGCCCCAAGGGGTGCACATCCATCTCCCTCAGCTTTGCCAAAGCACCAGGCCAGGGACGAATGCCGTCCCTGCCGTGACCTGCATCTCTGCACCATCTCCACTTCCAGCAGTCTGTCAGTACAGAGAGAGCTAATGCAAAGCAGATTTTGCTCTTTCATTTTGCCTAATGGCAGTTCTGCCTCTTTTGGTGTTTAGCTCAGATTTTCTGCTTCTCGGGTCAGGGCATGTAACTTTTTCTCCCCTCCTTGCGCCTTCTGCCGTTTGGCTAAGAGGCTAGAGGGTACAGTAGAAGATGTGTCTGGGAGATGTCTGCACACTTTCTCTTCCATCCTTGCTCACCCTGCAAAAACTGCTCGAGTGCCAAAACATGCCTGTGCCTTTCTTTTTGTTACCTGCTGAATCCCTCAGCATTTACTGACTTCTTTCTCAGGTAACACTTGGCCTGGGGAAGATCTGAGGGATTTAACAGAGGTGGCCCCCAGAAAGCATGCAATAAAACCTCTCATGAACTTTTGCCCTCTGAACCGTACCACCGACCTGTCAAGGAGGTTTGTGCAAGCCGTGATGGACGCAGGCAGGGAGGGCTGCTCCACCGGCACTGGCCGAGCCACGCACGCTGGGCCAAGCAAAGCACGGCTCTCCTCAACATTGTATAACTACTACTTGCGCCGTTTGCATCCTTTCACACGCAGTCCCGTCTGGGGCTTTGTCCGCGCATGGCAGCACTAAACATCTGGATACCCAGGGGCAGTGAGGAGCTCACAAACCCCAGGTTTGCCTCGAATGTCTTCATGTAGCCAGCCTCCCTGTGCAAGGAGATGGAGCGAGATCTCCAGCACGGAGCGTGCTCCACGCAGCCTACACGTGCAGGCACTGCCAGAAGCAGCTCATGCCCCTTTTCACAGCAGCCCAGCTGGGGTGAGCCACCTTGCACAAATATGTGTTTAGTGCAATGCGAGTGCAGGTCTGCAGGAAGCTTGCACCGGCTTCAGGCTCCCGTATATGCCAAGAGGGGAGGTTTTTCCCACCATGTGCTCGAAATCCTCCCTCATGGGCGAAGGCAGTGGGGTGGGAGGGAGAAGTGTGGCGGGTGGCCGTGCCCACCCCAGGTGGCTGTGAGTGATGGCGTGTCTCTGTTTCCTTCCCAGGCCTCCTCCTCTGAGCGGCAGCCCCGTCATCTCCGACATCTCCCTCATCCGCCTGTCTCCGCACCCTGCCGGGCCTGGAGAGTCACCCTTCAGCCCGCCGCACCCTTACGTGGCACCCCACATGGAGCACTACCTCCGCTCCGTCCACAGCAGCCCCACGCTCTCCGTCATCTCTGCTGCCAGGGGCCTCAGCCCTGCTGACGGTAAGACGCTGTGCTGTTGGTACTGCAATGATTTTGTAGCTCACCAGCACTGAAATTCCCTAAAATCCAGGGATTTGCAGCTGCAAAGGCTCCGCAGCTGCTCTCTGAAGTGGGAGAGCTGTCTCTTTTTCTTTTCGGGTTTTTTTTCCCCCCCGTTAACTACACATTTGTTTTGCATCATTGCACTGAGAAAGCAGAGCGTGAGAATAGCTATTACCGCTGGATCATATTATAAATATTTTGCTTAAAGTACGTTCCTTTCTGCAGCGCTCTCGGCTCTCTTACGAGCTTCCCCACTCTTATGTCTCTACTGGGAGCCCTGCTTCCCCCAAAGACGGTCACGGTCGCTCCGGCTGCCTGGCCTGGCTGGGACTGACGTTGCAGAGATGAGGCAACGCCGGCTGGGTTATCCCCCTGTTGGCTTTGTGTCTCGGGGCAGGATGGCTCCCGGGTGAAGGAGAAGGGCCATACTTTCCTCCTCCTTACTCCTGAGCTGCCCTGCAGCAGCTTTCGGTGAAGGCGAGGGCGCGTGGGGAGCTGGCACTGGATGCGCGCAGAGGTGGTGATGTTCTCCGAGCCCCAGCAGACCCTGTGTCAGGGAGCTGGGGACAAAAATGGCTAAGCAGGGAAAGGGGAAAATGCACGATTCTGCTTTCACTTGGGGAGGTGCAAGTCATGCCCTATTTTGTCAGAAGGGCTTCATTACACGGTTGCAGGCAGCTGGCTCAGTGCCCGTGGAGCAGCAGGGGTTTGGGGTCTCAGCACACCCAGCAAACCCAGCATCTCTTGGCTCCCAAGCTGCTGCAGGGGCAAGCGACCCTTCTCCGCCACAGAGCAAAGCACACCAGAGAGCAACAAGGCCCCAGCTTAGTGTCTCGCAGCATAAAACTGTCTTCTCTGGCTAAAAAAAACATCGCTAGGGTGATCGGGAGATGGATGCGTCTTCTTCCCTCCCCCAAAACGTCATCCAAACTCCCAGCTGCCCGCCACGGAGAGGTCTGATGGCTGGTACGCGTGTGCTCTGCCCCGTCCTCTCCTTCCAAAGCCAGTTTTGTTGTTTGCTGTGAAAAAAAGGCATTGTGTTTTGGTTGCTTTTCTTCTCCTTTTATTCTTTTTCTTTTTTTTTTTTTAAGGCAGTGGTAAATAAGTTAATAGGGCAAGCGGGTGGGGAGGCAGGTTTGAAAAATTACAGCTGGGAGAAAGTGAGCGTAATTGGCTTTGGCAGCCAAAATGGTTTTATGCTGCCAGACACTAAACCTAGCTCTATGCATTAGACCTTGGCTTTAATTTCCTCGCCCTGCTATCGGGAACTGGGCTGCATTTGTCTTTCCTTCCTAATAGGCAGGGATGTTAATGCTGACAGGGTTACTGCTGCCGGCAGGCTGGGCCCTCTCCCCCCTCCCCGGGGTGCTGGCTGCGTCCGAACGGGAGGATTATTAGAAGGGGGAACGAGAGATTGTTTATAAATTTGCGGAAATGGAGGAATGCAGAGGCCCCAGCTTAGTTTCTTTTGTCCGCAGAAGCACGCCCAAGCGCACGTCACGAGAGCCCTACGCGGAGCCGCGCGGCCGGGGCTGGCGGGGGGCGCGGGGGGGAGACGGGGCCGCCAACGTCAGCGCCGAGGTCTAACGTTGCGGTGGGAACCTTCTCCCCATGTTTTTCTCCTCACCCGTGGCGCCGGCAGTGGCTCACGAGCACCTGAAGGAGCGAGGTCTCTTCGGGCTGCCCCCGCCGCCGCCGGGAGCCAACCCCGCCGACTACTACCACCAAATGACGCTGATGGCCAGCCACCCGAACCCCTACGGGGACCTCCTGATGCAGAGCGGGGGAGCAGCCAGCACAGCCCACCTCCATGATTACCTCAGCCCTGTCGACGGTGAGTAGCGGTCCGGGTCCTCCCCAGCACAGCTGAAATTTTGGGGCAGATGGATGGGACTGTCCTCCAGGTGGAGGTTGCTACACGTGGTTACTCTGCCCTGCCGAAACCCACAGGTGCTGCGCTATAATTCTCAGCTCAAAAGGTTGCCTTGTTCCATATATATGTATAAAACATCCGTCATTTAAAATATCTGCGTTGTGGCCTCTTTGGGAGGATGGCGTGGCTGCTGCACGGGTAGGAGACGCGCTGGTCCAGTGGGCAGGGCATTGCCGCCGTCCTGCTGCTTTGGCCGTGGGTGACCACAGCGTGCCTGGGGGCAAGCTCCAGCTCACCATCCGACCCCATGTTTAGCCTGGTTGGTGTCTGGGACAAAGGTTGGCCTTTTCCTGGCATAGCTGGGCTCAGCATGATGGACCTCTCGTCTTGGTGGAGACCTCTCGGGTCCCCAAGGAGAAAAAATATGTTAACGGGGAGCAGTGGTGGAGAGGATATGTTAGTGCTTTGTGGGAGGAAAAAAAATGCAGGAATGTGGTATTTACGCTAGTATCAGGCATTATAAACCCAGAAAGTTCTCGCTCCTGGCTAAATGCAGAAGAAATAAAATCATGTTAGGCGCTGCGGTGCTGAGTCACTGCTGCAGCCTGACCGCTGCCCTGGTGAGATGGGTAAAGCCTATCTGGAAGCGTATCTGAGATCCAAATGATTTTTTTGAGCTGTTAGAAATTTCTTTCCTTTCACTTTATGCTACGTCTTGCAAGAACTGGGGTTGCGCAGATATTACAGAGGACAGTTTGGGGATTATTTCTGTGGCAAGAAAGAGAAGTCTCTGCCCAACTTTCAGATCCTGGCTTCTGTTTCCTGGGCTGCCTTCAGATTTGCCTGTGGACCATTATAATTTTTGGAGTGGAGATCTGCATCGTTTCATTACCGCTTCAAAGTTTCTGTTGTTGAGCTTTTAAGATGAAAGACTTTGCAGTCTTGCTGCTTCGTAAAGTGACTGGTTTGGAATGATAAAAGCTGTTCTGGCTGTTCAGCGATGGGGGCTTATAGATATTTCTAACGAAAAAAACAATTTCTTGGCTGCAGCTGCTGCGGAAGTTTTACCTGAATAGTCATTTTCTGCTGCCTGTTCCTAGATTAATCAGGAACCTGGATCCCAGTCTGAAAGGGAGAGCACATGCTCCTTGGTACCATCCTGCCTCTAACACCCAAAATACCTTCCGGGCTTCTCTGCTACAAAGCAGCTGGTCAGTAAGACCTCTCTGTCTTCCCTCCAAAGGGTTAATGTCTGTGGTTATAACAGATGGGTGCAAACCAGCCCTGCCAAGTTCTCCTCGGGCTCATGAACAAGACTCCTTCCTCCTTGCCTCCTTATTAGTCCATCTCTGACCAGCAGTGCCTCACTGATGTGCCAGATAAACAGCCAGCGAGGGAAGAAAACACCGCTGTTTTCATGCTAGCGCAGGCTGACTCTTGGTACACCAAGATGCTCGTCCTCTGGTTTGCCGAAGATCAGTCTTTATATCTAAAGTTGTCTGAGATACTGCCCTCAGCAGAAGACTCTCTTACTGCTTGCCTTCTCCTCAAAACAGCTCTAGAGTGAATCACGTATCAAAGGTCCCAGTTTCATGCAGTCAAGTTCATAACCATTATTCACTGCAAAGCCAGGGCTCACCAAGCATTTGTTTTGATCTTTCAGTAAAGCTTTGTTGATGAGTAACTGGAAAGCCCTTTCTGGGCCTTCACATGCTCTATGTGAGATGAAAACTTTCAAATGTCATGAGGATGTGATGTGAGACACCAGAAGGCTACTTTTTAAGAATGTGAAAAGGAGCAGCAGCCCAGTGCCAGTCTCTGTTCTACAGGTTTAGGTTTATCCATCAGCCAGAGAGAAGAGAGAATTCTGCATTATCAAGGCGGAGACTAAAATGGATGGCTCTGAAACACTGGCTGAGGAACCAGAGTCTCCCTCTCTTTTTAGAAAGTTATTTCAAAAATCTAAATCAGCGGGGCCTAAGTAAATAGTGGAACCAATAATTTAATGAAGCATCCTCTTATGGTGCTTTTCTGAGACAAGAATATCAATAGCATGCATAAAACCTTAATGAGTCACCACCTCACAGCATCTGTCATTCAGAGAGCCCTTTTCTTCCCAGAGAGCCCCAGAACATAAGAACTTTACAAGAATTAGTTTGCTGAAAATGCAGGTAGCTCCTGGTAAACCACATGCAGCACCATCACACATCTGTGATAACACTGGCACCTGTAAAAGAAAAAGCAGCAGATAAACATATATTAAAACTGGCCTATTCAGTGTCACGTCACCTCCAAACACCTGCAGGTCCATGGGAGCCCTAGACACTGGGTATGGTAGTTCTTCCACAGACACATACCTGGGCCCTTCTTGTTGCTGTAATTGCATTTCTTGGAGAATTTCTTAATGTGTCCTTGTTTGTTGGTGGTTTTTCATCCCATCAGGTGTCTAGGGTCAGGAAAAGTAATAGGACATAAGTGTCGGCTGGAGCGTGTTGCTACCAACCTTGTGGCAGGTCTGCTGAGTGTTTAAATGGTAACAGAGCTAGGGTGCCCCAGAGCTGCATGTGTTTAGCAGGGTTTTCACTGTGCAGCTAGAAGTAGTTAAGCCACTAAAGTAGACCAAATTTAAGTTTTATGCACCGGATTGCTGGGGTCTTCAGGCCAGTTCCAGTGGAGACTAAACAACCCTTCAGTTATCTGTCCTGTTTCATTCTGTTGTCCAAACAGGGACTCTAAATCCAAGAGTGGAGTTTGAATCCAGGCTTAAATCCATTTTCTGGAAAGCTTACACTTTCAAATCAAAAGTTAATAGCTTTCCAATGTCACAACATTGCTGGTGGGGCACTTTTGAGACTAATTTACAGGATCTATTCACCAGATCAAAACAATCTTTCACATTTCTATTCTAGAAGTGGGTGCCACATGGTGACAGAGTGGTTGCACAAGAACATCCCTGGGGCAGTAAAGACTGGTGGGGAGCACAGATGAACCTGGAGATGACTACAACTTTCTGAGCATGTTTAGTACATCCAACTTTTTTTTTCCTAAACACAAAGGCTCCTGTGATTACCCTCAGCCCTTCAGGACATGTCATTTGCTCTCAGGAGGAGCGTATCCAGACTGACTCGATGCTTTTACTGTTATAGCCCTGTACATCAGAAGATCTCAAAGTACTGTACAAAGCAAAGCTACATCATCACTGGAGACCCCAAAGAGAAAGGAGATAAAATGATCAGTGAGAAGAGCAGCAGCAGCTCTAGGAACAAGATCCAGATCTTTGGAATAAGACTCTTATGGCCAGGGTGGGAAGCAGAGATCATCTTTAAATCCACCACTTCTGTTTGCACAGTGTCAAAAGTGTGATTGGGTTGTCCACACTGAGTCAGGGAATGGGGGAAAAATATCTTGAGTTCAACTTGCGTCCAAGCAGCGCTGCAAAGAGTAGTCACTCAGGTCAGGAGGGCTACATAGATGTGTTTGTGCAACCTTACAGTTACCAACAGCAGGAATGACCCTGCAGTACTGTCATGGCATTTCATCCAGTTCTGGAGCTAGAGCGGGGATCCCTGCCCTCTTTCTTTCTGCCTGGTGCATGGCAGTCATGAATGTCTTGACTCACAACCAGCAGTTTGACTGGAAAAAGGCTCTGTCCAGCCCAGCATAGCCAACAAGCCAACGGCTGGCGCAGTTGCCTGGGTCGTGGGCAAATCATCAAGCAGGACTTTATTTGCCCAAATCAAACAGTGATTCAACTTCACTGGCCTCTTTCAGTCAGTGTTGTTGGAGCCTTTCTACCTCAAGTAAATGATTTAATAGCCATCAAGGTAAGGAGCAGGGCTGGCAGTGCAGCCCAGTGGTTACTGCAGTCAGCAGGCATGTGTCTGTGAGAGGTGAGCTCAGGACTCTCTTCCAGCAGGTTTATGTGAAGTGACTGCTCCCTCAGGATGGATGGAGAGAGCCCAGCCTCACAGCGACCTAGGAAAGAAGTGCCTCACCTGGGGCTTGGGAGACCAGCAGCTCGGGGTTTGCAGGCTGGATATGCTGGATCTCGGATGACTTCTCAAACAAGCCAGCTGTTGGCTACTCTGGGCAGACGGCGCGCCCTGTAGTCGCTTCCTTAAAAACTCTGAAAGATCCTTTTGTTTTGTTTTGTTTTCTTTGTCCCAGCACAGAATGGAAACTTGCTGAAATCTCAGAAAAGGTTCAGAGAATGGGAAACGATTTCCCACCCATTTCTAGCCAGCAATGCTGTTTTCCTCCCCAGAAAAATATGTGCAGAAGAGAGAAAAAGTCCCAGAGCATCCCATAAGCGCTCTGTCTGGAATCCTGCTGCACTCTGGTTTCTAAAGAATTCAATTTACATATGCAAGTTGGGTCGTCTAAACAGTTACCTTGTGGATTGGGAGTAGAAGAATGCAGCCTTGTCTTTCAGCGAGGATTTGAGGGAAGCATTAGTATTCCTTGAACTGCAAAGTTGATCAGCCCGGGGAGGGCAGAAAGAAGGGTCCCAGGACAGCATCTGGTGCCAGAACAAATGTCCAGCATCTGCTGCAGTCTAAGTAAGACGTGTGTTGCCGCTGCAGAAGGGCAGAGGGGAATAAGGATCTGGTTATACGAGGAGTGTTTGTAGTTTATTGCTGCTGCTTATTGATTAAGGGATCATCCTGGGTTTTTAAGCTGCCCTTGGATTTAATTTGATGGTGGGAGGAGGGGGATATTTCTGTATGCTTTGGGTGGAGCTTTCTTGGTGAGTGGCCAGGAAGACGGACCATTTTGATAACGCTGTATTTATCCCGTGTCTTGGTCAGGGGGTGCAGGGGAAGCCGTGGCTCTGGCCGTGTTTCGGTGAGGAGAGGGAGTGAGCCATCTGCAGCCCATGTGCCTTAAGGGCTTGGCCATTTGGAAGCAGATTCCCCCGACGTCCCTCTGCAGTCGAGATCACAGCAACATGCCTGTCTGTA